CAGTCCTTCCTTTTTCCTGAGACATTGTCACTTGAGAGGCTGAACAACAAATGGGAACATCTTGTTCCAGAGAGAAAAGTGTTTGTGGATCCTCCTTCTTTCACGCACCATAATCATCCTGGCTTTCAAAGCTCTGCTAAATGGGCTTCCAAACTGGGCCGAATCACAATGCCTGTGTGATACTCAAGTGGTAGGCAAAATAAGGCCTCCCGCTCCCAAAACAAAGTCCACGCCCTCATCCCAGGACCTGTGATGTTACTTTACAAGGTGAAAGGGTCTGTGTGGATGTGGTTAAGGACCCTGAGATGGGGAGATCTTCTTGGATTACCTGGGTGAGGCCAATGCATCCTTTTTTTTTTTTTTTAAAGATTTTTATTTATTGAGAGAGAGACTATGGTGGAGAGAGAGCACGAGAGGGAAGAAGGTCAGAGGGAGAAGCAGACTCCCTGCTGAGCAGGGAGCCCGATGCAGGATTCGATCCCGGGACTCCAGGATCATGACCTGAGCCAAAGGCAGTCGCTTAACCAATGGAGCCACCCAGGCGCCCCAAGGCCAATGCATCCTTAAAGGCAGGAACTTGTCCAGTTATATTGGGGGGGGCCTGACTATGGAAGAAAGGTGCAGAGAGAAATAACATTGCTGCTTTGAAGGTAGAGGAAGGAGCCACGAGCCAAGGAATGCAGGCAGCCTCTAGAAGCTGGAGGAGGCAGAAACAGATGTTCCCCTAGAGCCTCCAGGAGGGAAGGCAGCTCTGCCAACACCCTGATATTTGTTCAGTGAGCTCCGTGGTGGGCTTCTGACTTCTGTGATCAATTCAATCTGCAGAGTTTGTTGTAATCGGTTACAGCGGCAATGGGAAACATACACTCAGCAGTATCACTGGCTGAAGAGTGTCTTAGTCCATGTGCCAGAATATTTCTAAAGCCTAAGTCTGATCCTCCTCCCTCATCACTTCTCATATCCAATTAGCCTCCACGTCCTGTGGGCCTTTGAAAACCGGCTTCATGCCAGGCACGTGTGAAACCTTTTGCATGCCTTTCCTGGAATCGTCACCATTCTTGTCAAATAGTAGTAATTCCTTTGTATCAGGTGAGAAAATTGGGACTCAGAGGTTCAGCGAACCGCCCAGATAGAAATGACGCGGCTACGATTCAGACTTCCCTGTGCTCTCTGGCAGGTGCCTGGGCAGTGGGGAGGGAACCTCACCCACATACCGGAACCTGGCTCTTCCTCTCCAGCCCCATGGCCTTGGCTCTGGCACGGGTTCTTATCTCCCTCCAGGATTTTAGTCACTGTTTCCTAAGACATCCCCCTACCCCTGGATCTCATCCTCATCAATCCACCATGCACTATATATAGACAGAATAACGTCTCTAATACACAGAACTGTTCTTTTCAATTCTCTGCTCAAACCCTCCCAGGGGACCCCATTTTGTGCTGCATAAAGTTCAACTTCTTAGCATGGCATTCAAAGTCGCTCACAATCTGGCTCTGAGGTCAATCCATCCCTTCAAACGCTCTACAGAACAGATCCACTAACACATTAATTTTGCACCCGAATAGGCCATGGACTTTTCATCACCATATATACAAATGCCATTATATGACAAACAAAGAAAATGTAGATCAGAGATGGAAAGTTATCTGCCTTAGGTCACACAACTTGTATGAAGCAGTCAATACTAGACTCCAAATTCCCCAGTAGACCACCCTGGAGCTTTAAAGAGATAATCTCTGATCCCTCCATTTCCCTCCTCTGCCATCATTACTGAGTGAAAACAACCATTTTGTCTTGTGAGGAGGACTATAGTACCTCCAATCTGCTCTCCGCATGGAATAAAAATCTAATCGTGCCTCTCCACTGCTTAAAAATCCTTTGTCATCCACTGCTTTTAAAACAAAGACCCAAACTCTTAAGGACGTGACCCTTACATGACTTTCCAGCTCCACCTCGGCACCCTCTGTCTCTCACTATAATACCCATCCTCTTTCAGACTCCTTCATGTGCCTCACTCCCTGCCACCTCAGGGCCTTTGCACATGCTATCTTCTCTGTCTGGAGTGCTCTTTTTCCTCTCCATCTTCATTATTCTTCTTCCCCCTCCAGCCATTCCTTCCCCAAAAGGTCCTTCTGACTGCCAGACTGAGTGGGGGCCCTCCATGAGATGCTCTTTCCATTCCCAATACTTTGTCCCTGTTCAGTCCCTCAGTCAGTAATTATCCATGTGTGTGATTATTTCATCAGTGTCTTCTCCCCACCAAACTCTATGCTCCACTAGAGCAGAGACTTACTTTATACAATGGTGTACTTTTGTGTACCCACTGTTGATCACAGCACCAGGAACAAGGATGGAGCTCAATAATTATCTTTTAAATGAATAAATACCAACTAGCCCCAGCTGTGAAGTCAATTCTGTAATTTCCACATGTGTGTTTTAGGGGAAAGAGCAAGGAAGGTACCAAATGTTTCAACTACTGGAGACACAGAATTGGATAGCCTCCTTGTGGGTTGTTTGGTGGTGGTGGTGTTGCTGGTATTGATTTTGTTTTGCTTAGTTTGGAGGAAAGGATTCAAATACTGTGGAAAATAAATAAATAAAACTGCTGTGAAACAGATTTAAGCTGAAAGAAAAACTCTAATCTGTCAAATGAATAAATTTAGTCTTTTTTGAGACCATTAAGTAGGGACTCGTGGCAACTTCTTGGGAAATGGGTTGTTTGCTTTTTAATTTTTTTTTTTAAAGATTTTATTTATTTATTTGAGAGAGAGAATGAGATAGAGAGCATGAGGGGGGGGAGGATCCGAGGGAGAAGCAGACTCCCCGCGGAGCAGGGAGCCCGATGCGGGACTCGATCCCGGGACTCCAGGATCATGACCTGAGCCGAAGGCAGTTGCCCAACCAACTGAGCCACTCAGGCGCCCTGCTTTTTAATTTTTAAAATTTTTAATCTGTGATATCTTTAGGGCCAGGGCTGCAAAATTAGGCCTAGAACATTATTTTATTTATTTCTTTACATGCAGGACAGGCCATAAGTGATAACCTATGTATAGAACAGCAGACATAGCTGATTCTAAAATTATCCTTGCTTGCCACTTCTTCTCACACATTTCTTATGATGCCATCTTATCTGAAAGTGTTTCAAATACTTCTGCTAAAGGCTTTTCAGTGTTCGGACATCTTTTGGCACCAAAGCCAAGTTGATGAATTCTATTTAACTTTGAAGGATTTTTCAATTTTTAGCTTTTTTTTTTTTTGGTGAATTTGAACAATGTGCATTATTTTGCCAAAAGTTAACATCATTTTACTGTCCAAAATCTAGCAGAAAGTATAATACCTTATTTCTAATTCTAACCTAAAATAATGGTGTTCTTTTCCTTTGGAATAACACGACTGACATACGTTGTCCTTTCTCTTAAACCTCATCCATGAAACCCATCCCTTGCTCAGTGCTCTTCTCGGATGCCCCATAATTTGAAGATAAAACCAGATCTTGAGGAGCTACCAGAATGTAAAATCCACGGAGAAGGGGCTAGGTTTGTCTTGTCTCTCCTGCATCCCTCCGTCCGGCACATAAGAGACAATAAATATTTTTAAATGAACACACTTAAATCTATATTTATTTATTGAATTTTCTATATTAAAAATAATACATATTTATTTCAGAAATTCTAGGAAAAATAGAAAAACAAGAAGAAAAAAAAAAGATACTGCTACCTAAAGATACTCACTATTCCCCTTTTGGCATATTCCCCCAGGCTTTATCTATGCATGTATACATGTTTTCTTTTTATATCATGCTGAACATACAGTTTTCTAACTTGTATGTTTTTTTTTCACTTACAATGTACTCAATGTATGCATTCCATGTCCTCAAGTATTTTTCACTCCACGATTCCTGGTGCCCGTGTGATTCCACAGCAAGGAAAAGCAGTTTATGTAACTAATCCCACCAGGAAACGTCACCAATGCCATAAATGCTCTATTTTTCATCACTTCAGGAAAATAGGGCATTATAATTACTAGGCAGTGAGCACCCAGGGCCAGAATTCAATGAACAACACTAAGTCTAAAATCACACAGCACATGCTTCAATCTTATTTTGATCAACCAGGAATATTCCAGAATGACTTTCCATGTGGAAGTAAATATCCTTCATTTTAGAAGAGTTACATATGTGCAAGATGATCTAAAGAAAACAGTAGCCCAGGTGCTTCTGGTGTTGAGAGGGGATCCCCAAACCAGCCTCCTCAATACTGCCAAATGGCCCCTCATGCTTGGAAGAAGAAATGGTTGCCATATTTATTTGTGTATGAGGCCAAACACTCTAATTCCTTTGTTTCCTAATTTTAACTGAGAACACCAGCTGCTCACTTCCACTCCCTGCTTTAGATGGGGTGGCAGATCTAGACAGTGTAGAAAATCAAAGGTTTTCTTTTAAAAAAAAAACTTGACCCCACCCGACAAGTACATAGAATATTATTTCTGGGACTGCTTTTGAAAATAATGTGTGCTTGAGAGTCATGATAGTACCTACTACATATGGTGGTAAGACTAAGTGCTGAATAGTACCAAGGATGGTCATTCATAGCATTGTCTATGGGAACACCATATTTGGTGGGGCTTATATATCTGGCTAAAGAGAATTCCTACTGGTATCATGGAGGTACACCCCCCCAATACACATACACAAAATAATATTTCATATCTATAAAATTCCCACTTAGAAATTGCCATAGAGCATAAATCCAAGTGGATTTCTCCAGAACTCATTACTTCTATTGAACATGTTCTATATGTGTTGACTTTGATGGAAAACCAGCAACATCTCATCTCCAGATGGGAATTTCAACAACAAAGTATTTTAGGTAATAAAAAGTTTTCTCCCAGCCAGTTTCACAGCCTGAATAAGTGAATGTGTTCTATAAACTGTAAGGATTAAACAAGGTTAAGATAGATGGGACAAGTTGAATGTCTAGTAATTTGCTAAAAATGCTTTCAGTTTATTTGCTGTAAAATTTTTATTTAAAAGAAAGCACTTCCAATAAATCTCAGACCCAGCATTAGACCTCTAAGAATAAAACCAATTAATAAAGAAAACATTCACCTAAGTCAATGTGAGGTCACCATTGATTACTCTGAGGCAAAGGAGTCATCATTTCATGCTGTCCATTGGCGAAAACATGGCTTAAAGCTTGTGAGCGTGCAAGGTGGTGGCAGGGGTTGGAGCGGGAGGGGAGGCTCCTTTCCCCTTTCCTCCAAGAAGAGCTGATCTGTCCTTAGACAGAGGGACTGGTTCTTGGGCCCTTTGTGTTCCTCCTCTTAGCACCCAACACAGTGCCTACACAGAGCATCTGCTCTTCCATATCAGAGATGAGGAAGAAGAGAGGATTAGTGGGGACGGGAGGGCCCGGTCCTCCATGATTCTCTAGGAGCCCCGGACGATCTTTTGGCTAATGGCTCCAGGCAAGGTATAGATGAAGAGGACCAGGAAGATGATGAGGATGATCAGAATGAAACCGATGATGATGTATTTTTTGTAATTCTTCCAGATGAGGTGGTATAGGCATTTGAAGGGGCTCACAAACCAGGAGAAGGAGGTGTCTGGGCGGCTGCAAGGGAAGCAGGAGAAAAATCAGGAAAGGGGCCATGATGTCAACACATGGGATTCTGCAGACCTCAGGAAGTATTTCTGACTCCCGCTTCCTAGAGGTCCACAAGGAGATGCCTGGGAATGGGAGAAGTCCATGTTGCCTTGAAGCAGGAGCAATCCCAACATTCTGGGTGATGATTCCTGCATCATTTTAAAGCTTGGTCTGGAGAAGGTCTGACTCCATCTGTCCAACCCTGATCAGCTCCCCAAACCCCACCTCTTCCATGAGGCCCTCCTTGACCACCGTGGTCCATAAAGATCCCCCTCCTTCCAAATCCCTATCTTATCTATCACTTGACTTTAGCTCCTTTTTGGACCTAACATATTGGTCTTCTATACTCTGTTAACTATTTTATGAGTCTGTGTTCTCCCTAAACAGATTGGAAGCTCTTAGAGGATAGAACTTATGTCTTAGATTTCTTCGATGTTCTTCAAAGTGTTGGGTTGTTTTTTGTTTTTTTTTTAAGTAGGTACACATTGCAGGAGCTCAGCAAATAATTTTTAATTAATGAATAAGTAAGTATCCATTATGTTTCTAACACTATGATAGATGAAAAGTAAGTACAGAGAAGGGACCACTCATCTTGAGACACTGGAGATCTCAGGAAGGATAGGAGAAATACAATTTAAAAGAGTAATTTGTATACATATTTCATATCCACATATATTTACTTTTTAATTGATATGTAACCATGGATTAAATTGAATAGGGCAACACTTCTAGTAATTCTACTTCCGGGAATTTATTTTAAAGTAATAATTTACAAAAGGGAAATATTTTCATCATATTACAATAATGGAAAAAAGTAGAAGTAAATTAAATATCCAATTACGGGGTGGTGACCAAGTCAATTATGGGCACCAAAAGTATGGAATATTCCACAGGCATTACAAAATTCTAATTCTGACCACTATGGCAACAAAGCAAAACTTTGAAGCACAGGATAAATGAAACATTAAGACAATTGTGTATGCCTGATTCAAAAACAAGTAGAAAAAAATTCATGTGGAATTCATATTCACATAAAAAGAGTAGAAAAAATATACAAAATTATTCTAGAAATGCTTGTGTCAGTATTACAGAAAAGTACCGTCTCCATTTTCCAAACAGTCTATATTGTTTTTAGAATAAATTTCTCAATTATAGCAATAAAAAGCTACCTGGATTGGACGGCACCTGTTGGCTGCCTCCTTGTGGCTTAGTCCTCCCAGAGGGGCCCTCTAGAGAAATGCCCAGTCCCCTGCTTTGGGGACTACAAAGGGCCTCCCCATGCTCTTACCCCCAACCCCACTCACTTGGGCTTGGCCAGGGGCTCTGGCTCCTTCCGGGCTTTTCCGACAGGATTTTTCTCTGCTTCTTCTGCTGTCACTAAGTGGAACTCAGCTTCAACCTTGCCCTGCACAAAGACAAACGTTTCAATTTCTAGTCACAAAGACCTGCTGGGAGCAATGCCAACCTTCTAGAAGTATCCAGTGTGGGCGAACGCCAGGAAGTATTTTGACTATCCTGCTGCTCTATTTTGAGAAAAAAATGTTACCTTTTTGGTTCTGGGAGAAGCCATTTTTACGATGAACAGTAAAAGTTCTGAAATGATGTCACTGTTGAGTTTTGTGAAAGGAGAAGTCCCACCTGTACACATGGACACACATATCCTTGGTTGCCTGTTCTCTTTTGCTTGTACTCGTTCAATCAATATCTGATTATAGAAACTCAATAGCAGTTAGAAAGGGGACGAATTACCTGAGTGACAGAACCCTTTTGAATCGGCTACCGTCTTTCTTCTCTACCAATGATTCTCCAGAGGAAATTGGTGGGTGGCGCCCTACATTTGCCAAATGGCTTTTCTGTCACCCTTCATTGTTTCTGTTGTCTCCACACATTGTTTCAGAATTATCCTCCTCTTCTCGTACTTTCTCTTTCCTTCTCCTTCAATAGAAGCAGCCTTTCTGGTTTGAAAATTGTGTCATGTGCTTCTTCAGAGTGCTGTGCGTTATTATCACTGATGTAAGTCTTCGGTTGTCCAAGGGTGAGACAGGATGGCTGCAAAAGGTAAGGGTCGCTCTTTCTTGTCCCTACTTTTAGGGACCCTCTGTATGCCAGGTACTCTTCTAGACACTGGGGACTTAATGATTAAGGAAAACAGGATCCTTGATCTCCTGGAGCTCCAGTTCTTGGTGAAGAAGACCTTCTCTCTGCTTCTTTGGTTTTGTGGATTGAGATTCAAGGTAATAGGAGGGACACAGAACTGGAGGGGGACTAGAGCATCATGGAAATATTTTAGACCCATGATTATCATTTTGGCATTACATGTGGATGGGGCATAACCTGATTTCCTACCCCAGTAAGAAGATTAAAGTTTCTGATGAACCAGTGGGCCTGTGTTAACTTACCTAATCCCCCCCGCACCACCAAAAGCTAGGACTTCTTAGCAGCCAGAATGGATGCTGGCAACCATGAAAATGTAATCATGGGAGAAATGAGAGAGGAGTAGTGTATCTAGAGTGGGGTTGAAACCAGAGACAAGAGGCAGTGGCATGGTTGTCTGAATTCGTAAAGAAATGCAGTGGGCATATTACAAGTGAAGTCATGAGTTCAAATCTAGGGGGTCTCATCCATTCTTTAGACTACAACCCTGGCCCCAACTCAGAACACATTACATGTCCTACGATCCAGAAATATTCCTTAAAAACATGTGTGTGTGTATATATATATATATATATATATATATATATATATATATAGTCTCTCCTTCCTATTGACAAATCTTGGCCCTATAGGTAATGACTTGCATATACAGGTACTCGGGGAATATTTGAAAACCAGGAAAGAAGGAATACAAAGCTTCTGTCCGGTCTAGTCACTCCACTCCACTCCACCTCTATCAACAGTGGAGTCGTAGTACTATTACTCTAACTATAATTGCGATGCTTTATTGAATGCCCACTTTGCCTATGTTCCTTCAGTTCATCTATCAAAAAATCACAGCAACAAGCAAGGTAGGTGTCCTTTTTATCGATGGAAAAATGAAGCAGTTGAGGTCAGATAACTTTCCCAAGGTCACACAGGCAATAAGCCAACCAACTAGAACTTGAACTGAGGGCTGTATGAGGCCAAAGCTTATGCTCTTTCCATGATAGTGGGCTGCCTCCCAACTTATTCATGTGTTTGCCAGATAGTTGGACTAGAAGATTTGCAAGGACCTTCCTAACCCTAACATGAGATGATTGGCTTGTTGTCATCATAATTACCGCTTGAAGGCATTTGTCTTCTTGCGCCTCAGATTCCATACCTGTCAAATGGCCAGATGTGCTTTAAGGCAAATTCTGGCTCTACACCTAGGTTTCATGAAGAGCAGGAGACCCTATAAATCTTGAGGGCTGGAAGAAACCCAAGAGGCCAGCCTACAACTCAAGGCAGAGGGGTTTCCAATATGCAAAAAGGGCTGATTCCCAGAGGTCTTCCAGAGGTGACCTAAGCTCTACTGGGCAGTATATTTATACGCTAGGAGCCTCATCTAAATCCTCTGTGTTTGAAAGAGAGTCAGCTTAAGAGTTGCTAACCAATTGCTGGGCTCCCGAATGTTTGGAAGAGAGGACAAAAATCAACAGTGGGTAAGTTAGGACCAGAGTAAGGGGATCACAGCTGCCTCTTTGCTGTCCACTGCTTGATAATAAGCTCAGTCACAGTGCTATAGAATTTGCATGGTGCTTCACACATACATCATTCCATTTCAACTTGCTGACAACTGGCAAAGTAGACATTCTTATTCCCATTTTATAGCTGAGGAAACCAAGGCTCGATGATATTTGCTAACTTGTGTTACAAAACCAGGATTTGAGCCGAGATACTATGACACCAAACCCCATCCCCTGCTATTAACTGTGCCCAAGAGGCCCTTCTTTGTGGAAGAAAAGAAGCAAGCTATATATTTAACAGTGAGGAAATGCGTTTTTGAAATGTTCAAGAGAAGCTCCATAATCCTTGCCATGGTCCTTATAACACGGCTTTATGATATGTTTCTGGCTTCCATCTAACGGATGACCTTGGGTAGTTTAAGGATTATTTTCACGTAGCATAGCATAGCGTAAGAGTTGAGTGAATAGGATTTGGTGTAGACAGATCTGCATTTGAAACTGGGCTCTACCACTTACTAGGTGTGTGGCTTTGGCTGAGTTACCTGCTTCAGTCTCACTGTCCTGGAGATGTTAATAGCATGTACCCCACAGATTTGCTTTGACAAATAAATGAAATAACATATATACAGTGCTCAACCTAGTGCCTGGTAAATAGTAAACTCTTAGAGAGATTATAGGTGCTACCTTCAACACTACTTCATGGATGGAAACACATAATTCGATAGGAAACATCTGCCCATATAGAAAACACCCAGGGAAGACAATGCAAAGAAATGGGAAGCAGAGCGTGAGAAAAATGAATTCCGCCCTAGGCACAGGCATCATTGGTTATTACCATGAAGGGCCTTGCCCCCCACTTCACTGTCCTGCTTGAGTCGCCACAAAGCATTTTTCTGATATCACACAGGCCCCAGGAGGAAAGTGTTTATTGACATATTTTGATAAATACCACACACCATTCTATATCTCTCCACACAGAGTGTTCCCAGTTTTATTTTAATTATCAGTATTCAACCAAGCACCAGGTAGAGGTCTTATGCTAATAATACCCTCCAAATGTAATTTTAAATCAGAGCTAGGAAAGAAAAATGGACAGTTTGAGAGACTATCTATTAACCTAATGACATCTATGGATGGAAGAAAAGGACCAGGAAAGGTCCTGAAAAGACTGGATTTGTTGCACTGAGTGTGTTATTTATGGGCTTCGAACTTCAGTGAGCCCAGAGAGGGGATGCCCTGGGGAGGGGTGCGGGTGCTTTAGGTCAGATATGCCTTCTTCAGTGATAATTATTGCTTATTAAAACAACTCTCGCTGGTATAAGGCATTCTCATACATTAATGGTGGGGATGTGTCCCGGCAAAGTCTCTTAGGAAGAGGGACACACACATATACATACACACATATATGCATGCGTACATATAATGTCCATGTAAGTGTGTATATTACCTTATATGGTCACACTCTGGACTGAGACATGCCATTTCTGGGCAGATAAATTAAGGAAATAATTCAAAACACAGAAAAAGCTTAATATGCAAAGCACAGTCATTATTCTGTCAGATTTTCAAATTGTCCTATTTGTCACAATGATAGGTCCCAGGCCCACCTGGTGTTCTATCTGTCCTAGACCTGGAGTCAGCCAAATATGCCTGCCTGGTTCTTTCAGTAGAGATCGGTACTTAGAAACCAGGATCCAGATGCTAGGAGTCTTTTTGCTACTTGGTGATTTTACTTCTAGGTCCTTTCAGTGAATAGAGCTAGAAAAAATATTTTTAAATCCATACGTCCATAGTGGTACTGGGAATAATGCAAGAGAAAAAAAATCTCATTTACCACCACCCTTGGAGGTACCTCTTGTACCAATTCTTGATTCTACAGTGTGGTAATTGATAGAATTAAACATTTATCCTGTCTTTTTTTGTTTTTGAGGAGGTGGTAACTATAATTTATTTCCATTTGTTGAGAGAAATCTCTTCTTAACAGATGAATTCTTACTAATAAATGAAAAAAGAATGACAGATACACAGATAGATGATAGGGATATATAGATGGATGGATGGATAGGTGGATAGATAGCTAGATAATAGAAAGATAGATGGATAGAGATGGATGGATGGAAGGAAAGAAGGAATGGGTAAAGAAGGAAGAAAGGATTAGAGAAATCATTTTGCAACACCAATGAAATACTTAATTACAATCATCATTAGGTGAAAGGTGGTGGCAGGACAGGGATTTCCCACAGTGCCAAAGTGTCACCCACTGGTTACTCGCTAATGGCAAAGAGGAAAATGTACTTTTACAATGAAGAGATCTCCTGGTTACCAGCATGATCACGTGAGTAAACACAGCATCGCCATTAGTGAGGCCATCTGAAGGCATGTGCCTCCTGGCATAATTCAGTATGAAATAAACAGTACCAGGTCTTAAGTATTCTTAACAAAAATGTTTAACCTGATCCTGATAATGCTGTTATACCTAACTTCTAGTTCAACAAGAAACAACTGGACAAGTGAGGCCAGTTTCATCAAATAGGTATTGTCATGGGGGAGAAATAGTGGGGGACCGTTCTAAAACAAAATAGACCAAAGAGACAAAATAACCAAAAGCAACATATGAACTATGACTACATCTTGTTTTGAAAAAAGAAACAGCTATAAAATACATTTTGAGAGTAATAGGGTATCCTTCTTGTAGATGGAGAAATGAATATGGTGTGGATATCAGATTAGGTGATCATTATTAACTTCTTATATGTGATGA